ACTGTTATAAGCAATTGATAACCTCTGTTAATTAAATTGCCATGAAAGAATACATGGTGCAATGAGGTTTTGCTGTATATTCATATTTGAAAAATAACCACCTAAAACGATAGGTTCCCTGTTGGGATACCCTCTGTTCTTGTGGCATTAGTTACTATTTGTGAATGGATGAAGCTACAATACTTACAGTGATCTGACACCATACACAGTGAAGACCTGTAAGTCCCTGATAACATTTGATGGCTTTATGGCACTTGTCACATTTTTTTGGGCAGTTTCCTTCCACCCAAAAGTGATGCATTACCTACGGGAGACATGCATATCATTGGTTCAGAAAAATATCAACTCTGGAATTTGAAGTAAATGCAATTCACAGTGAGAGTTAAATTAGAGAACAGCTTACAGTAGCATTCTTTTTTGACTTGACATAGGTGTTAATGCAGGATAGTGGGGCTCTGGCCACACAACGCTCATGAACTGTATACTTGCAGACTACAAAATTAAAAATATAGATCAGTCAACTTATTCTTTATACACCAAGACAAAACCAATTTAAGCAGACAATTTATCAAGATGACGAGTATTTTTTTCCTGCAAGATAAGAGCAGATTATGATCAAAATACATATATTCATAAACAATCAATGCTTGAAAATAATAAAATATCAGGTGGAGACTCTTCATTAACTAAGGATCTATAGTCAAAAGGCTATGTGATTACTTTCTCTTTATAGGCAACTGAAGATGGAAGCAAGAGTCTGCCATTCAGTTCAAGCCTGTTTCACTGTTCCCTAAGATCATGATCAGTATTTTCTCTAAGCTATGAGCCAGTACACAGCGCAACAGTCTATCAAATGTCCTGCACTTAATTAAAGCATCTGTACATATCCTGATCATTATATGTGGATTACTAACACTCTAGCCCACAAGCAAAGAATCTGTTGACTCTCCCATGACAGGAAATTAATGGATGAAAGCCAAGTCTTCCTTGGCTAATAAGACGGAATTAATGGCTGAAACTCACTCGCATCAGTTCCTGGAGCTCGAAGCTATATCGCTCAGCAGATGTCTTTCATAGGGCCTCCACATCAACACTTCTGCTCATTACTTTCCTGCTCATAGTTCCACTCACTTCCTCCTTCCCTCTCAGCAAGCGAGGGCTCAGCATAGTGAAGTGACAAAGCAGGAAGTTTAGAGGGAACAGGGACAAGTGAGAGTGTTGGGCAGGGAATGGTGGCAACTTAGAAGAGACGGCAAACTGAAGGCAGCAAGCAATGAATGGGAAGCAAGTCAAAGGAGTTAGCCATTCTGACTGACTAGCAGCTCTATTGTGCCAGCAGAGGAAGAGAAAGCAACAGCTACTGTTGAAACCACAAACAGTCTAAAAGAAGAGGAGAAGATGTCCTCAGTATTGAGGTAAATCTAAGGATTTTGAGCAGATCCAGCTGGGCGATCCCAGCAAGGGTGTATGGGACTGGTTCAGACAGGATAGAGGAGGAAGTACAGAACATGGGGGTACAAAACAGGAGTGTGCTCTCAATGGCTCAAAAAGGTGTCCCCTTCTTGTTCGACAAAAGCACAAAGCTGCAGTACATCACCTTGACCCACCCTGACTCTCAGATTCAAAAATTGCTTCAGAGGCACATTGAGGCTCTAAACTCGCAGCTCATTGGCAACTTAAGGGGCTTCAAGAGATCTAAGGGTGTGCAAGCAGGTAATGTCTGACTTGTCCTCCATAATGCATGCACTGATATAGACTGTCGATACCACCATTTACATTATTTAACATCTTCATGGATGAAACAAACACAAAAATTGCTTCTAATGTATATCTTATTAAACTACCAAGGAAGTTGGCAGATGAAAAAAATAAGAAACTCGTTTGCTTTAATGATGCTTTAAAACTTTTTTTTTTAGCAAACCCTGGGTGTGCCTGAAAAAATTTCAAAGGGTAAGTCAAAAATATACAAAATTGTGTTTCCTCTATCACCTGAAGGCTAATCCTCACTTTGAATGGAAAATGCTGCTTTCCAATGCAGTGATTACTGGTGGGTTCAGGCATGCTCTTAACAAGGCAGGCCAAGATGATTCAGTACAGATGAGACAAACACACGCCAGACCTGGGTCAAAACGGAGTACATTAAACTTAACACCAGCAGCAGAAAGATAATGGATTTATTTAATTCATTTTCTATTACATGACAAATAATCAACAATAAGAACAGGGCCACCAAAGAGAAGCATCATTCTGTACCTCCATTCTATGGTGGGGATGGGTTATGCTGGGCTATAGAGCCTGAATCAGGTTATATGTATGCTAGTCTATCTCTGACTTGAAGTAGCAGAGACTCATTTGCACCTAATTTCTAGTTATTACTTAAAGATTTTTTGATTTGATTTATTATTGTCCCGTGTCCCGAGATACCAGTGAAAAATATTGCTTTGCATGCTAACCAGACAAATAATACCTTAGACAAGCACATCAAGGTGGTAGAAGAGAATGCAGAATACATTGTTACAGCCACAGAGAAGGTGCAGAGAAAGATCAACTTTAATGTACGAGAGGTCCGTTCATAAGCCTTAATAGTGAGGAAGAGGCTGGTCTTAAATCTGTTGGTATGTGTTTTCAAAATTTTGTTAACGTTTCAGGTCTGGTGACACTTCCTCAGAACTGACCCGAAACATTAACTCTGATTTTTTTCTTCACAGTTGCTGCCAGACCTGCTGAGCTTTTCCATCAACTTCTGCTTTTGTTCCTGATTTATAGCATCCGCAGTTCTTTCGGTTTCTATTCAAACTTTTGTATCTTCTGCACAATATATAATAGTCATTGAAATCACTTTCATAAATAGACACAGCAAATGGTTGTATATATTAGTGATAGTTTTGCTCATTCAAAACCATAACGTTAGCCCTTCCCAAACACTGCGGGATTTTTCATAATTTCTTGAATGCCCCTAGCACTGATGTATTACTTCCAGATTGTTTAAATTTTCCATGACCCTAAGCTCATTACATTATCAATTTAATCAGTCAAACTCACATTGTGGTACACTTCTGCTTACTATATATACAAATACAAGAATATGTCTTCTTTAGGAAAAAGAAATATCTCAAGGCATCGTGTAAAACAAAGCATCAGTGAAACACAATCCCTATTGTCTTCTCCATGATAATGCCTTCTCCAGAGTCAACTTGTCAACCCAACCAGTATTCTACTTTTCATGCACTATAAATTAAATTCATGGAGACAGAGTCATACAGCATGGAAACAGACCCTAAGGTCCAAATTGTCCATGCAAAGTTTCCCAAACTAAACTAGTCCCACTCACCTGCATTTGGCCCAAATCCCTCTAAACCTTTCCTATTCATGTACCTACCCAAATGTCCTTTAGATGTTGTAACTGTAACTGCATCTACCATTTCCTCTAGAGTTTATTCCATGTACAAATAACCCTCTGTGAAAAAGTTGCCCCTCAGGTCCCTTTTAAATCTCTCTTCTCGTCTTAAAAATACTTTTGAACTCTCAAAACTTAGTAAAAAGATCTTTGCCATTCACCTTTCCTATGCCCCTCTTGATTTTGTAAAGTTCTATGAGGTCATTCCTCAACCTCCTGTGCTCCAGTGAAAGAAATCCCAGCCTATCCAGACTTTACTTATAACTCAAACCCTCCAGTCTCAGCAACCTCCTGGTAAATCTTTTCTGAACCCACTCCAATTTAATAATATCTTTCCTACAGCTGAGCAACCAGAACAGTGCACAGTAGTCCAAAAGTGACCTTACCAATATCCTGTACAACCTCAACATGATGTCCCAACTCCAAAACTTAATAGCCTGGGCAACGAAGGTAAGAGTGCTAAATGCCTTCTTAACCACCCTGTCTACCTGTGATGCAACTTTCAAAGAACTATGCATCTGAAGCCCAGGTCTCTGTTCAACAACACTACCTGGGACACTACCATTAACTGTATAAACCCTGCCCTTCTTCACTTTACCAAATGCAATACCTTGCGTTTTTCCAAATTAAACTCCACCTTCCATTCCTCAGCTCATTGGCCCAATTTGTAATTTTAGATAACCTTCTTGGCCATTGACTATATTGTGGCACAGTGGCTCAGTGGTTAGCATTGTTGCTTCACAGTGCCACAGACCCTGGTTCGGTTCCACGGTTAGCTGTCTTTGTGGGTTTCTTCTGGGTGCTCTGGTTTCCTCCCATAGTACAAAAATGTGCTGGTTAGGTGTTTTGGCAATGCTAAATCACCCATATTGTCCAAGAATGTGCAAGTTAGGTGGATTAGCCATGAGAAATTCAGGGTTACAGGGATAGGGTAGGAGGGTGGGTCTGGTTGGGGTTCACTTCTGAGGGTCGGTGTAGACTCGATCTCTACACCACTGAAAGAATTCTATGATGTACCACCAATTTTGATATCATCCACAAGCTTACTAACTATTCTTCCTAAATTCTCATCCAAATCTTTTATATGAATGACTGACAGTGGAGCCAGCACTGATCTCTGCAGAACACCACTGGTCATAGGCCTCCAGTCCAAAAAACAACCTTCTACCACTAACCTCTGTCTCTTATTGTCAAGCTAATTTTGTATCCAATTGACAAGTTCTCCATGAATGCCATGTGATCTAACTCTACTGATCAGTCCACCATGCAGAACCTTGTTAAAGCCTTTACTAAAGACAGTGTAGACAAAGTCTACCACTCTGACCTCAATCTTTTTCATTACGTCCTCAAAAAACACAATCAAATTTGTGAGACATGATTTCCCATGCACACAGGCATGTTGATTATCCCCAATCAGTCCTTGCCTCTGCAACTGCGTGTAAATGCTATCTCTCAATCCCCTCCAACAACTTACCCACCACTGATGTCAGACTCACCAGTGTATAGCTCCCAGGCTTCTCCTTACAGCCTTTCTTAAGTAAAGGCACAATATTAGCCGCCTCCAGTCCTTTGGCACCTCACCCATCGCTACAGATGACAGTGGCCATTACTCTCAACTGGATCTCTGAGCTTTTTTCGTTCATATGTATCCATGTGTGATTTCTGTGACAAATTGCCTTTCATGTCAGAATTCTTACACAATCATCAAAGCTCCTATTGAATGGCTGAATGATAAGAGGGGTTTGGAATAACCTAGACAGAGCAGCATGGTTAGCACTGCTCCCTCATAGTGCCAGGGACCAGGTTTCGATTCCAGCCTCAGGTGACTGTGTGGAGTTTGCATATTCTCCCCTGTGTCTGCGTGGGTTTCCTCCGGGTGCTCCGGTTTCCTCCCACAGTCCACAGATGTGCAGGTTAGGTGGATCGGCCATGCTGAATTGTCCATATATAGTGTTCAGGGATGTGTAGGTTAGGGGTGTTGGGAAATGTAGCTATGGGAAATGCAGGGATAGGGTAGGGGGATGGGTCTTGGTGGGATGCTCCTCAGAAGGTCTATGCGGACTTGTTGGGCCAAATGGCCCGTTTCCATACTGTGGGGATTCTATGATTCTATGGATTCTATTTATAACAACTTTTTCTACCTCATGTGGGGAGAAAGCCATTTACAATTCCAGATGATATCAAGCAAAAAGCATAAGCACCACAAAACTCGTGACAAACATGCCATGGATTTCCTGTGAAGCAACTCAAAGGCTGTCAATGTCAATGCAAAATCATAATGTGCACTGACTCAAAATGTATACTGCAAATGGTAATTAGATTGGGAACAGGCTGATGTGGAGTATAAGGACAGGTATGGATCAACTGAGCTGAATTTTGAGCGTGTAGGTTGTTCAAGGCACAATTAAATGTACAAATTATAGGGGACAGATCAGAAGAAACTTGTTAAAATTTTCAGTGTGTGGAAAGTGCACTGAAGCAGATAAAGCTGGTGAGTAAAGTGACAGATCAAGAGCATGAGATTCAGATTTACGGGATTGTGTGCAGGATAAGACCAACAGAGTAGTTGCGCTGAATAATCTGTTAGCAATTTCCAATCTTCATGTCATGCTACAGTGTATCACTTGCTGCAAAGTAAAGTTTCATGTCAATTTGACCTTTAACTACGGAGTGCACTTGCCTGATGTTATACTGTGACATTACAGTAGATTGAGCCATACAGCGGGAAGTTGTCTTCAAAAATACAGCATATGACTTCAGAGATGTCAAAATGCAGGTAATGGAAATAGATGAGAACATGCAACAGAACAACAATAGTGGGTGCAGAATGTGTAAATTACTACTGCACCAAGATACAAGGCCACCTTCATTCACAGACAGCGAGAGCTGAAGGGGATACAGCTTTCCTCTCAGAAAGATGGCACCCATTAGCCTTCACTATGCTTATGCATGACAGAGCAGTGCAGCCATTTCCTTCACAGGCTGAGCACAAGCAGAAAAACACATGACAGCCGACTGACCCCCAAGGCACTGCATACCCCATGAGTACCACAGCCAACTACCTCCTGACTGTTGTGAAAAGGACATTGCGGTGGAAGGTTAACATCAAGTAACATACTGACGGAGCGATTGAAGGTGGAGGAGTAGGAATTACTGTAAGGAGAATTGATGATCTGAGGGGGTTAGGGAAGGGGAATTGTTGCTCTATTTGTAACTTGGTATTCTTGTGTCTGACTTGATAGGGTACAAATTGAAAAGCTTCAAAAACATGTCTCTTTTTTTCAATAATACTCAAATTCCGTACTACGAAGGAACTACTGTTGTTGCACTTACTCCACTTTGTGGTTTTAATCTGACATGTAGCGTAGTATACTTCCCCTTGTTCAAATTATTTGATTCAAATTACCGAAGTTTATGTTTGACAAGTAAATGCCTAACTTAATTTCTTAATTACATTGCCAACTTAAAATAGTGATTATTTTAGCAGAGAAACCAATATGAAGGATTCAGAATGCCATTTAAGATTTTAACCATTTTCTGTCATACATAATCTGGGGTTAGCTGTGAACAGTAAATCCACTGACATGAAAACTGAGCAAAAAAATCCCACATACAGTCCAAACATCCAAACAGACTTCAGTGTGAGTAGAAAATAATTGTTTCTTTTTCCAAAGGTGTTCACTCATTAAGTGGTCACTTCAGGGGATTTAATCTGAAGTGCTATTAAAGAGTTTTAGTTTTAAACAAAATAATGAAACATGTCAATTGCTCATTGATTAATAATCTATTAACACAACATTATATGTTTGAGAGTATTTATTACTCAAGGAGTATTTATTACTTAGAAAAAACAGGTATTCTACCAGTTTGGGTTTGTTGAAATGAGTAATTATATCATGATTTAATATTCAATAGGGTGTGCGCTTCTTTGGTGCTAGGAAGCTTGCTGCACAGGACTGTTGCAAAATAGTGCATGTGCATTTCATAAAAATGTTGAAATCTTCAAATAAATAGCATTGGGTTCCTCTGCTTTAAAACTGAGGGATAGCTGCTTATCCAGTGCTGATCAGGGTACTCATTTAAGGGTTAACGTTACCCTGGAGTTTTCAGATACAGCATCAAGCATTGTCTTATTATTAGGTTCATAGAGAGATCAGTTCCAACTTAAAAAAATCTTAAAAAGCTTCTTTATACATCGTTAAGACAGAAAAGAGTATTTTTGTAAGAGTAAAACTCATCTTGAATACTCAAATATTGGGAAATGGTGAAGTATATGACTGAATTGTCTTTGTGAAGAGGGCTTGACAGTTTATTTCCACATCATCATAATACTCACAGGAACAGCAGAGGCCTTGCTTGCCAAAACCAATCAGCATGTTCAAACAAAGATTGCAGTATGCAGGTTTGTTAAAGTGCTTCAGTCTCCATACGTGTTGCCCATCATCCTTCACATTCTACAAAAGAAGAACACAGCAACAGTGCAGTTTACAGCACCTTATGGGATGTGGACCTTCAATGAAAGAAAGTAAGTACATTTGCAAGGCACAAATTCTCAAAGCAACTTTAAAATGCCTATAGCACAATTACTGACATTATGTTGACAAATGACCAGATGGGCAATTTTTGTACAGCAATGTTCCATAAAAAGCACTGTGATAGATGGCCTTTTAATCTGTTTTGCTGACATGAGTTGAGGAATGAGAATTGCCCAGGATACACAGTGCCATGTAATCTTTCACTCCTACACAGACAAACAATGGCCCTGTTTTTAGCAAGGTAGATCATATACTGAGCGCGGGCACGCTGTGCCCCATTGTAAATTTCAAGGGAAGGCCAGGCTCCGCTTAGCTGGCTTGCTCATTTCAATATTTTGAGTGACAGGTTGTTTAATTAGTGTGAAATGGGGCTTCTGTGTATCTCCAGGAGGACATCCACTTAGAGGCCCAACCTGCCAGCAGTGTTGGCCTTTGCTGACGTTACAGGAAAGACAAGAGGTGGTTTTCAGCAACGGTGCCAGGTTCCAAATCTGATATCTTACATGGGGTCAGGCTGACAGGCTTCAGTGAGGGCAGCTGTGGGCCATAATGGATACAGTGCAGTGGCGAGAGGCTAGACATCGGGGAGGAAAACTGCATGGTAGCTGGGGTAGTCCAACTGGCACAAGATCCGGAGAAGCAAGCACTTTGTCTTTCACTCACTAGCAGCCTGCAGGGTAAAATCACTCATTCTATCAGAGTCAAACTGGAAGAGGTTCTTAAATGCGCAATTAAAGGCCTCAATTGGGCCATGACAACCAACCTGACATCTTCCTTGGTGCCTATATACTCGTGATGAGTATTGGGCAGGGGCTGAGGTGGGAGGATGGATGATGGATGATTGACTGAATTTACTCACATAGCCATCTGCTTTCCTCCCTGCTGGTATGCTATAAAATTCAGCCCAACAACCTTCTCCTGGTAGACAGAATATCTATCCCCAGTCTTTCCCTAAACCTCAATAGTAATTTGAAATTCTGAAATGGGATTCAAATGCACAACTTTCTGATACAAGAAAAGATGTACGAGCACCTAAGTCAAACAAACATTTCTGTTACTGTCCAGAACGTAGTACTTCACAAAAATAAAGATGTGTGGGAGCCATTGAGTGTGGGAATACAAGTGAGATTAACTGCAGTAGCAAAGCATGCTATTTAAAACCATCATCTGACCCAAATATTATATCACTCTCCAGTACCTGCAATATCTATTTTAATATCTGGCCATGGAAGATTTCCTCTCTCCAGCCTCTTTCTGGTTCTACTCCTGTCTCTCAAAATCCCTCAACTATCAATGGCCAACACGATTTCTGTTTTTGATAAGCCAGTGCTTAGAGCTTGTACAAGAACAATCTGGAAATAGTCTGCATCTTTTCTATATGTTTGCTGGAGTTGGGACAGTGAATAACAGTCTCTGGCCTCCACTTGGTACATGCTCAGTGTGGAATGATTGGTATTATGAATGTCATTTTTAAATTATACTGTTACCATTTTACAATTGGAGGATTTAATTGGACTTTTCCTCAATCAGAAACACATGCCAACAGACAATGAAGACAGAAGATTCAATGTTCCTAACATATCCCAGTCTTTGCATAATAATTATGAAAACACAAATGCAGGTTTGGTTTAAAACTTTCAGAGATAGTTGTCCTATAGTATCAGAGTTCAAATTTAAGGGAGTATTATGCATTAACAAAAATGGGATTCCAACATTCTAAGATAATTCCATCAAAAATCTGTCACCATGCAAACAGGTAAAAACTTATTGAAAAATATTTATAAAATGTTGAAGTATCCTTCAAGGTCCAGATGTCCAGACTATTATTGAGGCAAAATTCATGAAATATTTTCAACCTTTCATTTACCCCTGGTTTACTAATTGTTTGACTAATGAAAAAGACAGTAACTTGGTAAGACTTATCTTGACAAATAGTTGAAAAAAGAAACTGACATGCTGTTAAAGCATCAAAACAGGGCAGAATCGCAAGAATATCAAATCTCAAAAGGGAATAATAATGTCAACTGCATGCCTATAAGACAAAAAAGGTTTGAATTGCTTTTTTCATTTTTTCAGCAATTAAAGAATCTTGGACTTCCAGTTGCTAAGGTCCAGAAATTAAGTTTAGAGATTTTAGGGCAAGTTGAACAAAATATACAGTTTGTGTATATATTGAGGGAAGGGAAACAATGATAACTTTTCCACTTAAAATTATTTTGAAAAATTGGGTTGATGAATCCACAAAATGTGAACTTTAAAAGGAATTCGTTGCAAGCTAAGTTTTAGTATTTATACAGAAAATGATCATGGCGTGAAGCAGCAACTAAGCTACATCATTTAGAATTTTTAAATATTTAGATCTTGACATCACACCAAAATTTTAGTATTCCAGTGCAAGAGTTATTTCCAGTGAAATACCACACCCCCTTCCCCAACTTTCATCACAGCCTCTCAATCACTTAAAGGGATGACTCACAGCAACTTCTCATTCAATAAAAATAGTCAATGTTACATTTGTTGGACATCAAGATGAGCGTAACTTTTTAAAATTATATTTCACTGATGAAGTTCTCTTTTTTAAAAAAGGTGCTGTCACAGCCCTCTCACTGTCCAATCAGCTCCAGCCCTTCTTTTTAATCTGTTGATCCAAACCCACACCCTTGTGAAAGTTTCACAGGCAGATCATCAGCTGAATACAAATGAGGGCAAAAAGACAGCAACGTAATTGCTCCATTCACCAAACGGGAGAATTGAGCATTGAGGTTTCAAAGCCACACATTTTACAATTACATTAGCAGCGAAAAAAAAAGGAATTCTCATGATGTCCATTGAAAGAGGAATTTTGGGCCCTCAACATTTCATTGCAAAGCATGAAATCTACCATGTCACAAAATATTCAAATCTTAACCGAAGTTGAGATGCTTCAATCGGGGTATCATATTTTCCAGTCTTATATTGCATTCTAAGATTGATATCACAAGTATATTGGAACAAAATAGCATAGAATACTAATAAACTGGAACCTTGGGTGTTACTTTTATCCCCAATCCCTACTTCCACTTCTTTTGCTTTTTCCCTCTCTCAAACTCAGTTGCAATGATTAATCATCCACCTTGCAAGAACAGACACACAGGCTTCAACAACTCAGTTTCTAAAACTTCTGCTGCTTATTATTTATGGATACAATAGTTGACTTGTCCCTTGGGTGGGATGCAGATCTAGTGGACTTAGAGATTAAATCTAGTTGGTTAAATTCCAAATAATTTGTTTAAAACATTACATATACTGACACCTGCTAAAACATGACAAATGTGTTCTGTCAGCATTTGCTTCATATCATATTTTAATTTCAAATCCACATAGATACAAAACTTTCAGAACACTACATCGATAATCGTCCATTGCTGTGTCATTTGCCAACTTCCATTGTAAATTGAAAACGTAGTGCCAGATTTTGCAAACAGTGGCTATCTCACGTAGAAGGCCAGTCTGGCTGTTTGCGTTTTATGAAAGGAGGAAGCTCCACATTTCTGACAGGAGAGTCTGCTTTAGAAATGCAAAGCCATCTTTCCATTCTGACAGTTCTTCCAAAACACAGCGCTGTCTGAGGAAGGCAAACCGCACCCCTTTTTTCACAGCACTCAACCGCATTCTGATATCCAAAGGTTCAAGATGGTGGCAGTGGAGTAGGCAGCATCCAGGCTCTAGAGCCAATGGTCCATCCACTCTATCCGCTTTTCATTTATCTCTCTTCTTTTGTTTACTCTTCATTCCTTTTGCGTATTCTTTTCTCGTTTTTATTGGTGGCATCTTCGTCGGGGTGCAGAGCGTGGCAGCAGCTGGTGAGCCTGGGTCAGGAACCTGGTGGACAGCAGTGAGGCGGTGCCTGGTAGAGGGGCAAGCACGTGAACCCGGCATAGGCTGCTACATTGGCAGAGACGACGTCGGCGAGGACATGGAGGAGGAGGGAAGTTTCAGCGGCAGTGATGGCGGTTCCTCATGGCCATTCCAGCTGCATCTAGCAGTCATCTATTTCGACAGCTCGGCCCGGGGATTCCATTGGATGGGTAATAGGCGGTGGCTTCAGCCTGGCATCCAACAGCCCGGATATTCTTTTGGGTGGCTTTTTGCCATGTCTTCTTTCCCAGGATCAATGATGAGGTGGTCCTTGAGGTGGCTTCAGGAGTCTCGCGGCCCAAGATTCCAGAAGCCCGGAATGGCGGTCTTGCCGCCATTTCCCAAAACCAGGAGCTGTGAATGCAACTAAGATGGACTTTGTCTTAATTTTTAAAATTTTCCTTATCTGTGCCTTGTTATTAATACAGCCACTGTGGCATGGCAACGTAAACACTTTTTGCTGTATTTTGTTTTGTAAAACAGGAGTGACAATAAAATCACTTCTATTTTACACAGCTATTTTGACAGCTGCTGTCAAAGCATACAGTAAGTGTGATATTCGGGTTCTGGGAGAGTAGGGTGCCAGACTGGTGTGGGGATAGGTAGGATGGGGGTGAGGTCTACAGGAGGTGTCATTACATGTGTGTGAGATCAGTTAATAACCTCCCAGGAGTTACACTAAATATTCAATCGTTTAACTTTTCCTGAGTGACTGTTCTACTTAATTTCATCAGGAAGCATCTGAATTCTCGAATTTAAATGGAGACTTTCAGAAGGTTCCAGGTACAGAGGAACTGCCCAGCAAAAAGTTCAAATTCCCAGGCAATTCCTTCAGAGTCTATCATGGGCATTCCTCAGGCAACTCAAGCTATGCTGGAATAACTACCATCTGACTATTGAAAAATACGGGCCATAATTATATCTGTGTTAAAGCACAGTTTATTACTGTACCTCAAACTAAACGTAGTCATGATGGGAGCTGAACTAAAGTGGCATAACTGGTGGATATACTGCAAAAGCTT